TCCTGCTGGTGATGCATTTAAGTTTGTTTCCTTTTTTAAGAAATTTCAAAGGTGATCTGTGATATGGATTGCCATGTTGGGAAGATAGTCATTGCTGACAGCTATGTTTGTAATATTAGTTTTGCCTAGAATGCTAGATTAAAGTATATATTTCCCTTCTAGTATGAAGTGTTCCCTGTTTTGCTGCAGTGATTCTTGAGGAGTGTCCCTGACCTGAGTGGATGTTCTAGTAAATGGGGGTTGTGACATCTAGTTGCACCATATTGATTATACAGTGTTAATGATAAATAGTGGTCATCAATTGGTGTTTGACATGTTAACTCTCATCTTGGAATTCAGAGCAGCATTTTCATGTGTTTCAAGAATCTTCTCTTTCCTTATCCATCAGCTTTGATTGTCTTCCCTCTTTGCCTTTGGTCCCTGTTGTAGCACCAAAAGCAGTGACAGTGTTGTGTATCTGTATACATCATTAGCTCAAAACAGAAACCATAATCCCACTGCTTGACTGTGTATGTAAAGGATGCAAGGGGACCATAATATTATCTTTTGGCTTTTTTTTCTTTGTTTTTTTTTTAAATCTTCTAGGTACTTCTCATTAGGTGGCAGACAGTTTTCAGGAAAGCAATTTCCTTGTGTTAAGATCAGATGCTTTGGTTAATATGTGGAGGTGTTAGTGTGCGTGGAAGGTCTTATACCCAGATGTTTTGTTAAAACTGCTCCTGGAATTTGCAAGACTGGCATGGTTGACGAACTTAAAAGTTGAGTAGAATTGTTTTCTGGGTAACTTGGGAGCAAAAAACCCATTAAACTGAATATCAAAAAACAGCATTACTGTGATGTAATTTTAGATTTTTTTTTTTTTTTTGGTCATTTAATTCTTTTACAAATTTTGAGGAGATAAAAATTCTGCAGTGCTGACTACCCCTGTGGAGCTATTGGTGAAAATACAATCATCCTAGTGGAGTCTATTCGCATAACTCAGAAAATCTACATATGTAATGCCTGTATAGTTGCTTGGCACTTGTTAGTATGGTACCTGTTTACTTCTAAGTCATCGAACTGCAGGTGTTTAAGCAACTGGGAGTTAACTTCTCTTGTGTAGTAAGTTTCCAGAAGCAAACATGGAGTTTTGGGGAGGAATATGAGGCCTGTTTTCCTTTTTTGTTATGAACACTTTATTCAGCTTAGTTACATGGAGAGGAACATTTAAATGAGCATAAAAGAATTTATTTAAACTTAATAACTTATTTAAATTGTGCAATGAAGAAGAGCCTTACTGTAAATGGGAATCAGGACTTCTACTCAATTTATTATCATTTGGGCCTGTGCTAGTGAGAGTACTTTTTTACAGTTTGCTTTGCATGGGGTTTTCCATGCCCTTTAGGCTGCCATTCCACATGGCAGAGAAGCAGGCCCTTACTGACTGGAACTGAACAATGTTAAATATGTGTTTTCCTGAGATAAAAACTTACAGAAAGAAGTAATCAAATTATTTAAGAAAGTCTTATGTTAGAATATTTGAGGTTACAAAAGGTCAGACTATCTTAGCCTCTTCCTAATAAACCAGCATTTTGTTTTAGTTGCTTACCTCCTCCTGAAAATACCCAATATAGAAGAGATTGGCACAATCTGTTCATGATTCTGCCAACGACTGATTCAAAACAAAAGTCAGGGTAGCGCTACTCTGCAGGAGAACCAGAGCTGGGATGAAAAGTGAATAGCTAACAAAACATGCTGCCCAAACACCATGCATTTTTTTCAACCTAAAGATCCTCTGTTTCTTTGATCATTTTTCCAAGTGTTTTCCCATGATTTTGTTGTGTTTTCAAGTGGCAGGACATCTTTGCAAATGGCCAGAGACCCTTCTGTGCAGCTCCCGCGGCCTGACCAGTGCATTGAAAGAAGCCGCAGCAAGACTTACCCCAAAAGAACACAACAGACCGGTAAGTCCTCTGCTGGTCTGTGGAGAGATGTCTTCTTTGGACTTTGCTTCATTTCGTTTTCAAGAGGCGACTCAGAACTGTTGCAGTGTCCTCAAGGATCTCTCAGAATGGATTCTCTCTTTTGCCTTTGGTCACTATTTATACCTAACCTTAGCTGGATCTAAAAACTCCACCTTTTGTGGATAAAAGTAAAAGAGGTGGTGTGGATCAAACATGATAAAACCCCATGTTTGTAGGTCTAATGTAAAGTATGAAAGGGAAATTTGAAAACAGGCAGTGACAACATGTGTTTTTTCGGGAGTCCTGTCTCTCGCTAAAGAGTTTTATACTTGTGTGTCTTGGTTGCTATCCCATAATTCCAGCTGCTTGACCCAAGGTGTCTCTCTTGCACATCCTCCTCCCAGTTCAAGGGCAGTATCCCTTTATTTTGATATTAAGTGGAACAGAAGGTAGTGCCATGCCATCTGCAATTTAACACGCTTCACTGTGAGCTGGAAATCTGTTCTGCATGCTGAAGATGTCAGGGGAAGCTGGAAGTTTTCACAGGTGTTAGAGGAAACATACAAGATTAAGCACGGATTACAGGAGTCATGCCCAGAATAATGGATGTTTTCTGATGTTTAGTAATAGAGGCAAGAAGCTTTTCTAATGTCAAGCTCCAGTTCTACATGTGATTACGTGCATATGCTTAGTTTCATCTATGACAGCAGTCACACAGATTGCAGTCGAACTCGTGCATGGAGTTAAGTATATATATATGTATGTGTATGAGCAGTTCGAGAAAAAGCTTGTCTGGGCTTCAAAATGTAAGCAAGATCTCTGTTTATCGTGGGTTGGTACAGTATTACAAACTTTTGAGAGTCCCCATTTTTAAAAAGAGAGCAGGTATATACGTCTGGAAACCTCCCATGTTTATTCTGGATGCTGTCTTTTGACTCGGAAACAAAGCTGATGTGTTCTGCCTTTTAGCTGCAGTGGGTCTTGAAGTGTAGTGTAATTAAAAGTATTGCCCTTTGAAAATACAAGCAGTTTACAACAGATTTTTTTTTTAAATTTTATTTTATTTAGTTAAGTTTAAGAAGAGAAGGATTGCTTTGCTTTCTGATTATAATATCGTTTTGTTGTGTCTGCAGTTGTCAGTGGGTGCCTAAGAGGGCAAGAAGCTGTTCACTCTTGAACCTAGTAGTGGCTTAAGACTTTTGTTCAGCTGGGCTTTCCCAGCTTCGGGTGGTAGTTCAAGATGAACAGCATTTCCCAGCTCATTAGTCCCCAGTTCTGTTGTGCAGAAAGTTGTGTGGCTATTCAGAGGTAAACTTGTCAGCTGAAACTCAGCCCTTAGTCGGAAATAATGTTAGCCTTAGCGCAGGCAGTGAAAGTCAGTCTATATTGCTGCAAGGGTGTGCTTGTTGATTGTTTTCAGTCTCTTTGACTGGAATTGTGAGGAAAACTGAAACCATCCCATGGCCTGTTCTGCTGATGTAACATGATGCAGAATTCTCTGCGCAACGCATGTTTGTTGTTTTGGTGGATTTAAATACTTTGTTTTGCTTTAAAATAAAAAGGCTGCTTTTTCACCATCTTACTCATATGTATTTGTGTAATCTGTATCCCCCATCTGGGTTGTTTTGCTTTTAATTCAACCTAATTGATTACCCATGTGTTCCAAGTGTGCAGTCTTTTTCCACTGGGGTAGGTGTATTACCTCAAATGATTTTCAAATTAAATGAATTTGTTTCGTTTCCCACCTAAAATATGGATTAAAGGAAGAGAGCTATGTTATTCAAATTCCATCTTTCTCTATAAATGAGCATATTTTTTATTCTTTATTTTTCTGATTTTGTATTTGGGTATTCACAATGATAAACATCTAGTACTCTTTCTGCATTTAAATGGGCTTTTAGATGCTGAAGGCAGACTAACGCTACTTCTCCTCCATGTGTCAGGCACCATGTGACAGTCTGTTGCATGTCACTAGGATAAATCCACCCCTTTTCACCTACACTGGTTCTTGGATATAGCAAAGTCCATTTCACACAATAAATCAAGTCTGTGATGTATTTTAAGCATCACTTGTTTAAAAATACTAATCCAATGTAGATTTTACTTTTACAGAATAATTTTTGTCTTGGAAATGAGCCTGGTGGTGTAAACAGTCTTATGAGTTACTTAAACTTTCCCTTACTGAAATGTTTGAGAGAATAATATGACATCTTTTCTTAAAATAACTATTCCTTTTGCATAAAGAGATTATGCTGATGGTTGTCATTGATGGCTAGTGCTTTTTAATTTTGCGTTTCTAGTATGGTGTAATAAGATTAAGTATGCCTTGTTCAACATTTTAAACAGGGTGATTTTAGTTTGCATGTATTACATATTTCTTAAGGTGTTTTCTGCCAAATGCCACTTAAATTAGGATCCAGATGGACATGGCTTATAATTTAGCTTTTTGGAATGAAAAGCAGAGTTCCATTTATTCTCCCAAAACCCAAAAGCCAGTAAAAACTCATAAATAGTCCTTATGCAGTATCTTCCTTCTCCAAGTTCAGGATCTTTCCTCACCTGCTTCTTTACTTTTTTTCCTTTTCTTAAGATTGCAAAGTTAAGTGCATGAAAAGCTTCCTTTCTGCAGCCAGTTCCATTAGCCATTCTGGTTTTGGGGGTTTTTTTTGTATCTATTGGTGCCAGTAATGGGACCAGCCACAGCAGTGGGTTTGGGGGCAATTAGGTGAACCCGTAGCTACAAATGCACGGCTGTAGCATGTGCAGACTGCATTGCCTCCATTGTGTGTGAAGTGCTAAAGCCTCTAACCTCTGACATCTCATTAAAATGTTTTCCCTTGTTCCTTCTTTTTGTATACATGTTCTGGTGTTACTCGCAGTTACATAGTATGTGTTTTTTATATTTTTTTCTGTCACCTGAAGGTAGAGGTTAGCTATCTTTTGCAGTGCTGGGCAACTAATAATGTTTCTTTGTCTCATTGGTCCATTAAAGTACGCTAAAGTCATTAGGACTGCAGCCAGTTGGTGAACTCTGGGTTAAGAGTTGGAGTAGGTGCCAAGACAATGATAGAAAATACTTATTACTTCTATGTTTTCAGTAAAAATATTTGTGCTTTAAGAGAGGGATTGAAGGATATGATACTGTGAACAAAGAGAAACTAGCTTTCTTGTATAAAAGCCACTGCCATTGACTGATTCCCCTGATATGATAGATAGTGTAGACAGTTTAGCTTTAGCTTGGCAGATTATTTTCCTAGAATCCAGGTTTAGAGTGCAGTAACCTCCCTTTTGTCACTTGCTTAATACGTTTAATATCTCAGTTGGCTTAGGGTTAGTGGAAAAATCAGACCAGGAAACTTCAATGGCTTTGCAATCAATGTTTTTAAATTAGTGCGGGTTTTTTTGTGTGTGTGTTTAGGTTGACGTTCAAGTTGGTGTTCAGTTGGAGAAGAGTTTTTTTGTTTTGTTCTGTAAAGTCTTATATATGAGATATGCGTGGCTTGTTTCATTTGCTTGTTCTCCCCATTTCATTTCAGCTGAGAGAGAGTCACAGTTGCATTTTGTTCTGGTTGCAAATCATAAACTCGAACATGGAACAGGATCTCTCACTATTCTGTCTTACCCTCTTAGGGCAAGACTGATAATGCTCAGCTTTCGCAACAGCGCGTAGGGTGAAAGCGTTCATTATTCTTTTGGCTGAACGCTGCATGCGAAAAACTCCTTGGGAACGCCCTCTCTGGACAAACATTGATGTGACCAGACTTGTTGCCGTGGGTCTGAGTTTATTGAGCGGTGGAAGACACATTGCTTAGGGTTTTTGTTGTTTGGTAGCTGAGTACTTGATTTGTCCCTGCTTGCACACTCAGTAGTTGTATAAGCTAGTGTAAAGTAAGTGCTGCCATTCTGATTTAAAAGCCAGGTGGAGAATCAGGAGTGGGTATTAAAATTACAGTACTGTCTGCGTTATAATAGTCCCTAAGCAATCACAGGCAGTCACAGTCCGTGCCCTGAGTAACTTACATATTGCCACAGACTCCTATCATTACCCAGCTTTGCCAGCCTCAGTCTTGGTAGCTAGAACTGTTGGTCTGGCGCATTCAAAGTCATGAATTTTTTCCCAGAAAGTTGTGAGATTGGGTTTGAAAATCAAATTTTAGAAAATGAATCTTGGGGTAATTTTATCTATTTACTTATTTATTTACTTTGAGCTTTACACTTTAAAGTTTATTTTAAATCCTAGGTTTTGTAAAAGGACAAATGTGACTGCTTCTGCATTTCATGCATGTGGTGTGAGATGCACAAACCCTTGAGGCTACAGGTTTGGAAACTAGTTTGGAAGATAAACGTTATCACAGAGTAGGCTACGCTAGTGTAGACGTATAGAAGTTCATTCATTTTTATAGGCTCTTAGTAACCCACAGTGCAAAGCATGAGGTCTTACTGTATGTTTTCGTTTTGATCACACTATCTTCTGCTCTCATTAATAGATTTAAGTACAAACACTACTTCCAGATAACATCAGTGAAATGGCTTTACTTGATAAGAAACAGGTATGACAACCTAATTAGCTTGCCAGGCTCCTGAGGTTTTGGACAGTTGTGTTTTTAAAAGTGTAATAGTCTATTTAAATTGAATGCACAAATCAGCATCAAGATGGCTGTAACAGGGAATAAAAGTGTGTGCATTCACCTTATTGGAAAAGTTCAGTGCAATGAATGCTGACAGTAACTTATCTGACAAAAGGTAAACAAGCAGGAAAACCTGCTACAAGTGAGATGTTCAAGATTCCTGGCTATCTAAGGTATTTTTGAGAGGCCTGTTATCTTGGCATGCAAGAAACAGTGGTATAGATAAGTTATGGCAATGGGGTTAGTGTTTGGACAGTTTTTCTGAAGTCTATTGTTTTCTATTAGGGATACTGTATCCCTAATATACAACATACGGAGGTGTATGTTGGTAGAACAGTACTGCAGTTAGTAAAAGATAGGTGAGGTGGAACATACTTAAAGGCAATTATTACAGCTTCTGTAAGGGTGGATAGAAAGCTCCTAACTAAGCAGTTATTTATACAAAAGAATGCACAGCAAGAGCTTTTTTTTTAAAAAGCACAGCAAAGGTCCTTGTTGTGGGCAGCGGTGGAGTCAAATACAGCTAATATGAGGTCTCAGTAAAAACCTATTTTGTATTTCTGGGTGGATTCTGCCTCTGTATGATAGTCACTGGTATGTCATCTTTTCTTTGGTTTCCCTCAACTAAGTACTTGTTAAAATAATAGAGTGGTAAGCAGGGAACTCAACAGTGAGAAGGAGCTGCTGCTTTTGTAAGGATTTACTAGTACTGGCTGCTCCAAAAGCTGAAATGCCCCATGTAGGCTCTGCAGCACCAGCCTTTGTGCAGGACGCTCAAGGAGTTGCAAAGGCATCGCAGACTTTCTGCACTCGGGTGGACTGACTCTGCATGGCATAACCCCCCATCGCCTGACACCCGGAGACAACTGGGTGTCAGCAGAATGGTAAGGCTATTGCCAAACATAGTAAAAAGATCAGTTCTGGAGGTGGCTATTACTTTTACAGCACTTGACCCTTGGCTCTTTTTCTGGCAGTTGTTTCATAGCTATGACATGTTTTGAAGCATGAGTTCTTATTGCTCCATCAAGTTATGAGCACTCTGAGGGGCTTAATTGAAGCTACTTCACTTACACAGTAATATGTACTGAAATTATTTCCTTTGTTTGAAAAAGTCATATATTTGCTGATCTCAATACTTCTGTGGGCCAAATTACTATAGTGGGTTATTTTATCTTATGTATTTGATGGCCTAGGAAAGGCAAGCTAAATGTATTTGCATGGAAAAAATATGGTAAGAAACCCTGAGATATCCTTGTAGTTTAACACTTTGACCTACTCCATTTTCATTTCATTACCAGTACCTTCCTTAAAGGTGGGAAATTTCTGCTTCCTGTCTTACGTGCTGTCGTCTTTATTTATTTGTGATTTTTGACTGTAGGCATCCTTCTCTTTTTAGAGGTCAGAGGAAGAATTTTTGTAGCAGTCTTTTATGGCCTTAATGAAGATTGGGGATTCTTTTTCTGATCATTTTCACATCCACATTAATTCAAGAAAGTTTTTCGTTCAGTAATTCTGTCTTTTTACCAAGTAGGTCATAGTGGCAGTGTAGCTATTGCTTCATTCTTGAAAACAGAAAATGTCTGTATGGGCAGATGTGTAGTGTCTGAAGAGTTGGTTGTCTCTTATTGTATAGAGTAGAGGATTCATTCAGAATGCCAAACTTTACTTTCCTTTCTGTCTGTGAATCTGTGCCCATTCTGCCTTGCCTTCTTCAGAATATTCCAAATTCTTCCTAGTGCTTATGCTTGCATAAACAACAAAAACTGCCTTGAAGGAGCAAATACAGTACAAGACAGGACTCAGGCTGCTCCCCTCCCCTGCCAGGCATTAGTCTGAAAAGCTAAGTAGGGAAAGGAGTGAACTACATCATTAAAAACGGTAAAGTCAAACACGTAAAGGGCTTGGCCGAGTTGCTTAAGCGAAGGTGACTAATGCCACTTGAGACCCCCTGCAGCATATGAGGCATCTGCAGAAGACTAGCAGATGTAACCTGTAGGAGAGGCAACTGGTGGCCAGACAAGATGCCTTAGGATAGCTCAAGTATTTGTGTTGAAGTAGAGGAGAGTCCAGAGACTTTGTATGTCAAGGGGGTGGTATGGAAAGTTGAGGGAGACTGTGGAGAAATTCTTTCTGTCAGATTGTGGAGAAAGCTTATAATGCAAAATCTTGCCACAGCTTAATTTAAGACACTACATTTTAGTTTTAGCTAAACAAAAAGGCTTTCAGTTTGTACCACTATATTAAGAACACTATGATGCTGTTACTTGTGCCCAGAAGACACAGTCTTTTCTTGTTAGCAGTCTTACAGGCTTCAGTCAATCTTCAATGAACATGCTCAGAATCCTGTCCAAAGCTGATGTACATCATCAGTGATGTTGCTTTGTCGTTTTACTTAACACCTGTTTCTGGAGGTGGTAACGGTTTTGTAAGAAATGACTGAAATTGCCAGTTAGATAGAAAGAGAATGTGTGAACTGAAGAAAAATTACAAGTTAATATTAGTAGCACAGCGTGGAAACGAAAATTAGAGCACCAGTAGGAACAAACCCGTCTTGATGATTAATATATTACTACATTCCAAGCTGAACAGAACAGTTCTTTTTTTGTTCATGGTACTGAGCTGTATACATCTGTAGAGCATAGTCTTATCATGCCACTTTGACGTTAACCCCGTATGAAATACCCAGATTCCCTTGGCCCTCAGTGCTCCTAGATCATGAATACACAAATCTGTTTCTTTGAAACCTATTATATGTGGGCTCAGAAAGAGGGGAAATGCACATTCCTCCTGCTTCTTCAGGTTCCTTTTCATGGCTCAGGTGGGGACTTAAGTGCCAACAGTGTGAAAAGTGTAGGATCAAAATGGAAAGAATATTGGGCACAAAATTGGAAACTAGGCAGATAACTTTCAAATGTTGGCCAAAAGTTTCTGAGTCATTGAAACTGATCCTTAGCTGTCTCTGACAGAGTATTACTCTTTATTGTCTCTCTCTATTTACATTATTACATACATTATTTCTAATCCATTGATTTACATTTATTATTTTCCTGGTCATAACTTAGGATATATTAGTGTTGTGTTGCACTATGTTGCTAAATCAATTTGAAATGGTTTCTTAGAACAAACATATTCAGCTTGCTTTACCATTGAATCTAATGATTGTTTTAGAGGCCATAGTTAGTACATTGGAGATTCCTAAGCTTTTTCATACCCTGTATTCTCCTCACACCTTTCTTCTCATTGGTGACTGAGCAGGGAATTCCCTTCTGGTGGCAATGGCATAGTATCCCTGTGAGAACAACAGCTTCAAACTCCTCTGTCTCAAGTGGAAGAGTAATGAATGTCCCCCATGTTAAGCTTTCTTGTGACATGGTATAACTGGAAATAAGGATAAGACACAAAAGTTGATCCTTATATACTCTTAGCCAGTGGAGCATGCACCAGATGTCTTGTGTATCGTTTTATCTCTCATGCTGCACGGTGTTCAGTAGGTGATTATGCTGAATAGGTGTGCAAGCATATGTGCTACAGGACTGTTCTGTTTGTGGTTTTTTTTTCAGGATCTAAGAACATAAGCCAGATTACAACAAATGGGGAAAATGAAGGAACTACCAAAATTATTGCACCTTCCCCTGTGAAAAGGTACGTAGACCAGCAGTTCCCTTCCAGCTTCTAAGCGATGGTGTATTGCATTGGATAGAGGAACACATTTAGAAATCATTAGTAACAGTTTATCCTGCCCTTAAGTTTAGGACTGTCTGATCTTCTGTTGACAAAGGTCAGAGAGTATTGCCCAGTAATTAATTTATGCAAACTCTGATCTTCTGAGGAACCTGGAACAGGGGTTCCAGATGACACAGAGTTTGGAAACCCACGAATCAGGACAAGTTAATGGGAAGGCAAACAGTCTCAGTTTTAAATATGAAAAAAACAGATAATGACCCAAGTGGCATGGGTCAGGATAGTCTTGTGAAGTCCTATGTGTCCCTCCCCTGGGAGCTGATGGCTGGCTGGCAGGGCCCTCAGGGCATGGCTCTTCTGCCTCTGCACAGGGCAAGCTCTGCTTGGGATGTGTGGGCAGGGAAGAGCTGGGCATGGCCTCTCTTCCAGCAGTGCTGTTAATCTTGCAGTCCATTACCTGTTACACTGGTAAATCCAGAACAAAAATCGTGAGTGTTTGTGCCTGATCCGTAGGAGCAGTGAATTGCCAGGGCTTCTCTAAATTGCATGATCTCCTGTGTTTAATTATCAGTGCTGAAGTGCACATCTCTGGTTATTAGGCATATTTGAGAGAAGAGGCTCAGATTCAGAAAGGAGTTTATATCCCCACCCTTAATTTTAGGTGGAATTTAGGTGCCGGAATCTAAAAAGAGTGATCTGACAAAGTAGTGAGTCAAAAACTCGGCACCTAACTTTTTTGCTTAGTTGCCTGAATGTCTGTGTCTGCATGCCCAGTAACCCTGACAGGTTTTTTTGAGCTGAGCACCTCTGGCCTTATATTTCCATTGAAGCTGTGGGCTTCAAATACTAGGTATCTGGACTGATCTCTGAAGAAGGGTCTGAAAAATTTACTACAAATACCTGGTGGATAGTTGTTGTGGTTTAACCCGGCAGGCGGCCAAACACCACACAGCCACTCACTCACTCCCCCCGCCCCTGTTTATATACTGAGTATGATGTCATATGGCCACTTTGGGTCAGCTGTCTGGGCCTCCTCCTCCTCCCAGCTTCATGCACCTGGCAGAGCATGGGAAGCTGAAAAGTCCTTGACTACTGTAAGCACTACTTAGCAACAACTAAAACATCAGTGTGTTATCAACATTATTCCTATCCCAAATCCAAAACACATCACTATACCAGCTACTAGGAAGAAAACTAACTCTGTCCCAGCCAAAACCAGGACAACAGTGTTTCCTATTGCCTAATATTTGTAACAGTTGCCCCAAAAAAGAAGAGCTGCGTTTAATTGCTTCCTCAGTTTGAGGGAAATTGAATCAAATATTCTAGCCCTTAGAAAATCATACTAATCATGGGTTAAAAGAAAGTTTATAATTTTGCCACTTAGTCAGGCTGAAGTTAGGCCATTGAGCAGAAAACAGTACAAAGGTATATAAATACCTGCAGGGAGGGTGCAAAGAGGACGGAGCCAGGCTCTCTTCAGTGGTGCCCAGTGACAGGACCAGAGGCCACGGGCACAGACTGAAGCACAGGAGGTTCCCTCTGAACATCAGGAAACACTTTTTCACTGTGAGGGTGACCGAGCACTGGCACAGGTTGCCCAGGGAGCAGGTGGAGTCTCCATCGTTAGAGATACTCAAGAGCCATCTGCGAATGGTCCTGGGCACCTGGCTCTAGGTGGCCCTGCTTGAGCAGGGGGTTGGACGAGATGACCTCCGGAGGACCTTGCCAAACTCAACCATTCTGTCGTTCTGTGATTTGTTAGGAGAGGGAAAGGCACAAAGCAAGAGGTACCCTTATTCTACACTGCAGAGATGATCGTATTAGGAAGGGATAGGAGCCCTTCACTACAGCTTGTGCTCCAAACGCTGTGTAGAAATTTTTAGCAATGAACTGTTAAAAAGAAATAGATAGGTAGGTTGTAGAGCAAGAACCAAAATAAGGGGCTCTCAACATGGCAGCTTCAACGTTTCTGAGTTCAGTTTCTTACCTTTGACAGTTTAAAAGCAATTCACAGGCAGACTCTCACTGAGTCACGGTTTTAAATAGTGTTAGTCACTTCCAGCAAAAAAGTGTTGGAAGTTGTTTTTCTTGCATGCTTTCTATTTAGAAATTGATTTGTTTTTCTCTGTGTCTCTGTCTGCACATGTAAAACACCTTTCAGGTCTGCCAGGCTTGGTATGCGTGACAGGCAGCACACATACTTTGTGAAGCATTTACAGTTTGGTAGTTTACTCCATCCTATGTAATTCTCGCATTAATTGTCAGTCATGCTTGCAAAGCATCTTTCAGCAGCTCTTACAAGCTGAGTTTTTGTAGTTTAACATCTCATTCACTGTTGAGATACATAGTTGGTCACTTCTGCATAGGTAGTATAAATTCAAGGTAAACCATAAAAATCCCCAACAACAGTAATCTCACATGAAATTCAGATCCTAACCTTTTCAAATACTTTGAATGAACTCAGTCCCCTTCGCAACTGCGTTCTCGGAGATAATACCAGTATCTGAAGAGCTGCCATGCTGTAGCTCTCTAGCTGTAAAGTGTGTGTCTGCTCTGAATGAATAATGACTTAGGAATCTAACGCAGTGAATTCACCTCCCAAGATCATTTCTCTCTCTCTCTCTTTTTTAAGATTTGAGAACACTATTTAAATTTCTTTAAGCCCAACTTCAATCTAAGTATTGTTCAGCAGTTTATGCTGTGCAAAACCAATTATTTTTTGTAATACAGGACTGCAACATATTTACCCGAGTTACTTGCTTAGTCTGTAGTAAGGACGTATTTTCAAGTCTGGGAATAGATTGTATAGACATATGAGTCAATAATTAATGGGTGCAGTTTTAAGAAAATGATTTACCTGATAAAGTGTAATTTAATTTCTTTTCCTGCTGCCTTACTGTAGCTTTGCATTTTGTTCACTGTGTGAAAATTAAATGATTAACTCAGTGACCTGTAGTAACCAAAGGCTGAGGTTAAAAGTGGATTAGTGAGCTAAGTAGCTACGATTCTTTCATAAAGCTGAGTCTATCACCTCCTGCTCTGGGCAAAGAACTCCGGCATATGTCCTCCTCTCTGTTAAAGCTTTTTTTTTTGCAGCTTAAATTGCACTTTGGAAAGATACGTGGTATTAATGCTTGTAGTGGGTTGCTGTCAGTAGTACTTCTTGAAGAGCTTAGTGGAAATCAGTGTGGCTGTCTAGTTCTGTATCAGGTGAACTGCTTGTTTATGCAGAAAGCGAGCTCTAGAGATGATGATGCAGGAAAAGCATGACTACCCATTGGCAAGAAGATGGGTGCAAAAGCATGCTCCAGCTGGAAGCCACCTTGCAGCACTTGGAGTGGCAGTGAGCAGGCTATCTAGGAGCATTAATGGGTTGGAAGTTGTAAAACCTGACACTGTGAGAATGGAATAGAAAGAATTGGAGCATCCTGCTGTTTTCCCCCCCATCTCCCATAGGTAGAGTGGGAGACTGGTTACAAACACTGATATATCTCTTAAGCCAGGTGACTATCTTGTCTGTCCTGGTTCTTCACCTTGCAGCAGTCAGTGAAGATAGCTCTTTCACGTTGTCAGGTCTATGCTCAGTGTCTAGCAAAAAGAAAACTTAAGGAGTTACTGGGGAAGGAATGAGAAGAATATACTACTCTATGAACCTGTGGTCTGTCATGTTTTGAATAGTTATCATCCCTGCCTTTGTGGCTCCCATCTTAAAGAAGGTACTGTAGACCCGGAAAAATGATAGAGAACTATGATAAGGGTAATCAGAGGTATGTGGTGACTCCTATACTGGGAGAGGTTAAATTGTAATTCTTTCACTTGGAAAAGAGATGAGACATTTGTTAAAAATGTATTGAAAAAAATTATGGGGTGGAGTGATTAGGGAACCATCATTCATAGGGCTTATTTTCTTTCTATAAGCACAGAACGAGCGAGGAACACAGGATGGAAGTTTTGAACCAGGTGGAAGTTTTGAAACAAAATGAAATAGTTGTTTGTGCCATAGTAGAATACTGGAGCATACTGCTACCAGGCACTATTTATGCCAAAAATTCAAAAATGTTCAAGCAGTTTTTAAGTAAATCCATGGAAGAAAGTTCCATCAAGAGCTATGTAGAATAAAAAGCAGATGAAGCCTCTGGTTCAATAATCTGTTAACTGCATATTGCGGAAGACTGTCAGAGCATATTGTATATTTGCCCTATTAGACTTTTTGCCTAAGCATCTGTTCTCATTTATTCTGAGATAAAAGATAAAATTGACCTTTTTTCAGAGTCAGTGCAGCCATAATTATGAGCTTGTAGATTTTCAAGTCTTGTTTTTTTTTCCTTCCAATTTCTCTTTCTAGGGGAGATTCTTCAACATAGCAGGTGAATAGCTATATGCCAGGGTGGGTCTCTGTAATGACTGTATGGCTTTATGATTAATTTTTAAGAGGTCAGGGGGAGAGAACATGTGATCTGTACACTATGGGTTTTTTTAAAAAAAATGTATCTGTACTTTTATTTAGCTTTAAAAAGATGAAAAATGAAAACAGTCCAGAAACCCAAAGAAGTAAAACAAGCGCACCGTGGGAGGAAAATGGCCCACAGAGGTAAGGCGAGGCATGATGTCCTAGGTATTGTGCAATGGTAAATATCATGCCATGGCAATAGGTTGAAGGATGTTAATATAATATGTAAATGTATTAACAGGGTCACAATATATCTGTATTGCATGTAAGAAGATAGGTCCTGTCACAGGTGAATAATCAGTTAAAAATTAGGAAAGTATGTGTAGGAGGAAGTGGTCAGTGGATGAGAGTCATTAGTGGCTTTCCACAGAGATCTGTTCATAGACCTCTGCTATTGAATATATTTGTCAAACACCTGGAAAAGGTGTTTGAAAATTTGGTGATGGGACAGAATTGTTTAGGGTAGTGAGAGTGAAAGTTATCTGTGAGGAGTGGCAGAAAGACCCCTGAAGTATGAATGACGTGTCACTAGATGGTAGATGATGTTGAGTCAGTAAGTGTGAAGAGAGACACATGGGGGCAAAAAAATAAACCTAGATGTCTGAGTAAAATGAGGTGCTGTGGAGTTATGACGGATAACTTAATGAAAACATCAACAATTAGCAATTATTAGGAAAGGAAGAGAACAGCATTATGCCATTACATAAATTTGTGGATCACATATTTGCTCCATGAATTCTGAGTGCAGTTCTGATGTTCTTATCTCACGAAAAGTAAAGGCTTTGAGATGGGCAGCAAGGGTAATCCAAGGTGTGTAAGGCTGTGCAGGAGATCTGTACAAGGAGCACAGGCCAGGCAGGACTCTTTCTTCAGTCTGGGAAAGATAATTTCAGGGGATGTGGTCTAGAAGATCATTGAGTAGTACAGAGAAAGGAGAAAGAGATCAGGATTGTTTTTTTCCAGCATAAGAACTTGGGATCTTCGGATGAAGATTTTAGAGGTGGTTTAAAAGCATTTGAGAAAGGCAGCAAGTAGTGAGTCACCGTGAGTAGACCTGTGGTCCTCCTTTAGAAGGGATGCTGGAAGTTAGTGGATTCGTGGGGGAAGCTGGGTGAGTCACGGAAGAGAAATCCCCAAGGGCTTCTGAAGACAGGTACAGCAGCTGGCTCAGTAAGTCCCCTGGACTGGGAATAGTGGGGGACTAAGAGAGCACTGGGGAGCTGTCGTATTCAACTTCTTGCTTCCTGTAGGTGGTTGCTTATGGCCACTGTTGGAAACAGGCCATTGAACTAGAAAGCGCATTAAGTGTAATCCGGTATGGTCCTGCTTTTGTGTGATGATTCAGATCTATACATGGCGTGACTTTTGGGCCACCGTGATGATTTACCCTGTGTGCTCCTTCTGCAAACATCAAGAGTTTTCAGAGTAAGAATAAGGCAGTGTGCAAATACTCTCTTGCTGCAACAGACGTTTATTTGTGAGTTTTAAAGAAGTGGTGTCAGCCCATCACATTATGGCTCCAGTGTTAAAATTGCTCTCAGAATAGCAGGAAGTTTGATCTCCCAGGAGCCAAAAAGGGTAGGATTGAGTTTTTGCAAGTCCCTCTGTTCTAAAGAACTATGCAATTTTAGACACATAAGCAGTCTGTATGCTGCACAGAGGCTTTCATAGCCTCTAATAATAATTCTCATTGAGATGAACTGTCGCAACTTTTCAACCATGCAGAGCAGTGCTGTAATCAGCAGTCTGCAGAAGCAGGGGAAGAAGAATGTATCCAATTTGAAGGTCAGAGGGTTTTAGGAAAGCAGAAAGAAATATCTTAACTGGTGAGAATATCATATTTACCATTCACAACCATAGTTGTTGTGAAAAGGGCTAAGTAATGTTAGATAAAGATGTCTGGTTTTAGTTTAGCATCCTGCTTCCAAAAAGTCGTGGAACATCAATAGACCACCTTAGAGTGCTATGTACTCCATCAGAGGTTCTGTTACACTGTTGGAAGAGCTCCTTACACTTCTGTAGGAAGGTATCATAGGAAAACATATACAGGCATTTGATAGTCTACGTCTAATTCGGTAACAACCCAACCCATTGGGTCCCACCCAGGCTTAAGTACATAACCTGAAGTTTGAAACACCTCCAGACCATTGGTAGAGGGTTGTATGGATGAACAGCAAAGAGCTGGAGCTAAAATTGTTTCACCGTCCCAAGCATTAGCTCTGTCTGAAGACACATGTCGTGACAGGAACACTGTTTTCATACTTATATCCATGGAAAACAAAGAATAGAGGTGCATTTGAATGCCTAGCTCTGGGTTGGGTAACTCACACTAAAGCACAAAAATTTTATTATGCTAAAAGAATATGTTCTTGGTTCTACATTTTGTAAGCTTAGAGTTGTTGGCTTGGTAATGCTAAGAGGTATCTCTCCTACATTTTCAAGGTTCAGTGTAAAATATTTATTGCTGGAAAGCAGTACCGTCTGTATTTACGTAGCACGCACACACACATACATATAGCTGAATATGTACATAAGTGTGTGTGTGAGCCTTCTCATTTTTGTAGGCTGAATCTCAGTTAGCTGGCCTAACCCTCCTGGAAGTTTTAAAGCTGACTGTATGCTCTTCCTTTTTAACCCTAGTGGGCTGTATAATTCTCCCAGCGACCGCAATAAATCACCGAAGTTTCCTTACTCTCGGCGACGGAACCCATCAGGTGGCAGTGAGAATGAGTCTGGGCAGCCAGTCCGGAGGAGGTAAGAGCCCCAGGGTTAATTACTGTTAGCTTCTCACAGTAGCAAGCTTGAGGTCCTGCATGCTCTGTGTTCAGTAGAGGCTCTTGGAGACACAGCTGGGTCCTGGGAAAAGGCGTACTCTAGGGGCCAGCTGTTAGTCCAAAAAAAACCTGAGCAAGTATACCAGATCTGCTTTTGGAAAGGAAGCTTTGGTCAGACTTTTTGCTTGTGTGCTGTTCTGGGTACTAGGAAAATGATATTAAAAATATGAGAAATTTTATTATTGGCACGTGCAAGATCCTTTCAGTTGCTGCAGCTGTTTTTCCCTTGTGAAGGAAAAGATTGGTGGATGTTGCTTGCTTGACAGTGAGCTTCTAATACAGAACAGTATTTTGTTTCAGTACGTTGCTTTGCTTTAAGAGCAACAGAGATTAAATGAATGGGCCATAAAGCTGTCTTCAACAGTCCCACGTGTGAATTACTTTACATTAGAGAGGATGCCAGCAAAAATACAACTATGAGATACTTAATGTATTTTTAGTGTGTACGTGCTGAATTGAGTAACTTAGAGAAGTAAAATTAAATGGATGGAGATTCTGTGCAGTGTGTCCTGGAGTATGTCCAAAATGCAAATCACAGGGGCAGTTCTGAAGTGATACAGTTTTGAGACACTACATGTTACCTGGGATGATTTGTCCTGCTGAGAAGCTGCTTTCATCGCTAAGGTACCCTGGTGCTGTGATCTGCTGTGAAGTATGGACAAGCATAGCTACTGTGCCATATTCATTGCAGTCTTCTAGGACTGCCTTACGAGCCAGCACTTTGGAGTTACATCTCCTGACACCTCTGAAGTGGTTACCTGTTAGGCTTTCAAAGCCAGGGTTTGCAAAGGAATCTCTGAAGATGCAGCTGTATCTATGAGGAAATGTAGTTAGATGTGGAGCTTTTATGTTTGTCAGGTTTATGAGCTGCTCTAGACCTTTTACCTGCTATTAGCTGGTCTGGAACAGGAGTGAAGAAACTCGCCCATGGTATATGCTTAGTGACCTTGTGCCTGAGTTAGAGTAAATCAATGTAGCTCTCTCTGTGTCAATAGGGTATGTTGATTTACCCTGTTGGATAGAGCCCTTGTAAGTGTTAATAGCAATGTGTTTCCTGAATGGGTTTTTGATTTGTTGCTAGCTTAGTTGTCAGAAGGACTTGTTGGACTCTGTAAAAACAAAGCAATGGAGGTGTGCAGTGCAAAACTGTCCTGTATCAAGAAAAGAAGAGTGTTTGTGCTCTATGCAGTTGGGAATTTTTTGAGATGCAAAGTGTTTATCATCTGGGATTTGCATTTGGCTGATTTACTCGGTGGACAGGTGGCCATGCCAATAGCAAGTTTTCTCTTGGGCCACCACACCAACAAAATGTTTTTAAAAGTCTTATCTCATATATGAGACTGTGAAGACTGACAATAGTAGGTAGATTCTAATCTAATTATGTCTTCCTGAATCTTGGTTTTATTCATGCACTTTCCTTTTTCAACTGTTTAATAACAATAGCCGTGTTGTTTTTGCACTCTTTACTGGAATTAAGAGGAAAACATCAGGCTTTGCTATGCTGGAAAGAGTAGGAAACTCTAAAGGCTAGCATACCATCCTTAACTTTGCAAGTCAGGGGTTTGCAATGAGAGCTTGAATGGGATCACGCCTTTGCAACTTATTGTAGAGGTGTCCTGAAAAGTTTAAAACAAGCACGTGCCCTTTTTTCTCTGCCTTAAATCATATTGAAAAAAAACCTCTGTAAATTTTTTTTTTAAAGATGGGAGTTTTTGTGTATTTGTGTTAAGTGACCCAATGATACTTCATTAAAACTTCCTTAATGTCACAGGAGAAATCAAAACAGTGGTGAAGACTCAGATTTAAAGCAAAGGAGAAGGTAAATATATAATCTAAAGCAGCCATGAAATGACTGCGAAGGTACTGATCATATTTTAGTTCCCTGCATCCCCTCCTTTCTTTCCTTCTCCCCCATCTTAAATGTTTAAAAGGCTTGTTGTGTTCTGCCCATTTAATTTTTTCTTTCCTATCTTACTTTTGCTAAAACGCTCTGTATCACAGCACAGATTCCTACAAGCTGCCTTGCACATTGTTACTACACCATGCTAGAAGCAGTTTGTGGAAGGCTTGTCTGCAACTTGAAAGTCAGTTCCAGAAGTTTTAGCTTTTGGATTTTGCATCTGCAGATTTTGTTTTGAGTTCTCCAGCCTCCCAGTCCACTTTTAATTAACCTATTTTGAAAGCAAGGGTACTGTCATTTGAGGTGAATTGTTCTGCAAAAGGTAGGTGCAGAGGCATATGCAACTTCTTATGGTCTTCTCACTGTCTTGCACATTTTTTGCTCAATTTTTTCTTAAGCTTCTTTTTTTTTCTGTGCAGTCTTGACTAGTTGTCACATTTCCAAATAACGTGCTGGTGTGAGTTTGGGTGTGCCCTTCAACAACTTCAGCTTTTGACAGATTTTTGCATCTGGAGTTCTCTAGTGCCACATCTGCCTGCCATGACTCTGTGCTGTGCTTCTCCTCACTCCTGTGCTCCTGCCCTGGCAAAAGGAGAGAGTGCTGTGCATTTCGATGTCAGAGTCTCTTGAAGCTTGCAAAGGAGAGGAGGCACTCCCAGCATCTGGTTCACTGCTGCAGCGCAGGAAAGGAGCTCTGGCAGAGATAGAAGAATCTCAGGGACAATCACAGGAAGTCAGGGAAAGTGCTCATGTACTTTGCACCTATTACAAGATAGCAAATTATTTTTCTGAAGGATGTTGCCATTACAAGCTCCCAGTGTAGTCCCATGGTGGATGTCCAGCACATAAAACTCAGAGGATTTAGTTAGGCATCTCAGGTGGAAAATGTCAGTGCTCAGAAGCAGGGACAGTGCCCGAAGGCTGTGCCTGCTGTATTACATTACAAATGTACAGGTTTGTTATTGTGTATTGGAATAGACCTACTCCACTTCCTCACAATTTTGCTACATTTCTCTCATTTTAATCAGAAAAGGACTGCACAGAATATGAGCCTTCTCTGTCCACTGTTTCTCTGAAATATCAAATCCTGCAACTCGCCGTACCCTCCAAACCCTCTCCTGGGCTGTATTTGTTCTGTCTCTCTTGCCAAACTGACTATGCCTTCTTTCTTGCTCCTTGTGTCAGACCATATAGATATACCACCTGCAAAATATCAAATATATTGCATGACCATGAAGACATGAGGAAAGGATGAAAGGTGCTTTGTAGTTGTCAGAGGTCAGGATGATCGCATGTGTTCTTGCACCTGACTTAGGAAACCACTTTTGTTTCCATTTTTGGTATTTTGTTCAGTTCAGTAAAAGCTGATGTTTAATATTCAGTGAAAGATAATATTCTGACAGCCAGCATGAGCAGCTGCCACTCAGCTGACAGCTCAGCAGCCCTGCTGTCTCCCCGCAAGTGCTTTCCTGACAGGGAACACAAGGTAATTTGATGTCTAGTATCCAAAAGGTGGATCAGGTTTCCATTCCTGAAAAGCTAGAGAAAGGCTTATCTTGAATTTGAGCAAATAGGATGATCTTGCATTTCTCCTGCCATGGTGTGATTTTTGCTGCCTTGGTACCTTATGGGATAAATTGCTTAAGTCAGACTAAGGAAATACTTAAGGTGCAGAGTCGCTCCGATGACCTGGAAGTGTGAAAGAACAGTGTTGCTTGGATGACCTAGTAATGTTGAGATTCAAGATTAGTGGAATATTTATTAAATATCTGATAAGATTTAGGGGAAAAAAGGTATACTTTTGGGCATGTAAAGTCTGCTGCAGTTCTGGGGCATTTATTGCTCTGAACTTTCTGAATGTGCTTGAGCCAGTATCTTTTGGACACCATCTTTTAATCTTCCTTCTTCCTTTGGGGTTACATTTTTTTGTAGTAACATACATCTTTCTTACCCGGCTTTCACCTTCACCCAGAAATGTGTATTTTTACCTGGGAAGCTGGCTATCCTGAGCCTTTAAATGGCTTTAAATTATAAGCCATGAAATTTGGGGATGGGAAGAGATTTCAGCTTCTCCTCTGGGGAAGTTCCACTTTTCCAAACCTATTCCCTACAGACAAGCTGGATTGAACTGATTTTCCTAGGCTTTGCTTGTCCTATTTTCTAAAACATTTCTGTTTGAATGGGAGCTATTTGAGTTAATGATTTCCTAGTTTGGGAGAGGGGGGAGACCAGACTCCATAGACTCTGAGGCATTTAATGACACAGCAATTTGATAAAACCAACTATAATTCACTGGTGTTATGGGCAAATTCATGAGACTCTCAGCTGTGTCAGAAAGACATCTACAACAGTGTCCTAGTTTCAGAGACAGAGGGTAGAGTGATGTGTCCCTGACCAGATAGGACACTCAGGGAGGTCCATGCTGCAGGTATTCTGTTCCCTAGGAAGTCTCTCTCATCTGCTCTCATCTTGTTTGGCCTCTTTTCCCTAAACTGTCAGAACATGCAGTGAGCAGGTGCTCATCAATAGCCTCCAACCTTGTCATGAAAGGCTTCCCCTTACCTGTTACCTACACCTAGTGAACTGCCTTCACTCAGCCTGTTTAAGGTGTAGTTTAACGAATCTGTTCTCTTACAAAAGTGGCTCGTCAAAGAGCAGAAGAAAAGCCAGGAGGCAAAAGAAAGTATGCGTCTCTGCCAGCAGCATCAGGAGTCATCCCCTTATATCTCCTATTTCATGCCCAGAGACCTCAGAAGAAAATTTCTGTTTTCCATTGCAGCAAAATCATCACCGATTCTAACTCCCGATATCCTAAATCCTTCTAGGATGGCTCATGGTAATATTGGTCAACTTTCTCCATTAATCAATTGGGCCGTCAGTGCTGCAGAGAAACGTGTCTTTCTTTGAAGGCATTCAGAAGTATCACCACACTGAAGAATGGTCCAGACCAGGTTTTGATGAGAGTGCCATCTTTTAGGACCTAGCCCAGCACTAACAGAGTCCTGGTTTCTAGGACCAGAGCCCTGACAGCTGGTCTGTCTGCTCCAAAATGTTGATTGGTGGCAATCAAGGATTTAAGGGTCTCAGATAGCAGCGGCCAAGCACTTCTCTCTACTGAGAGGAGTTTGCCTGTAGGTAGGCATATGCCCATTTTCTTCTTGAAGTTCAGCATCAGTCTGTTCCACCAGTCTTTTTCAGTAATAAATAATCAGAGCCATAAATGTCACCTTACCATTTGAAGCTTCACAGTCAGAGATGATACAGAAGTAACTGCTTTATTTCCTTTTTCCTCACATGATGCACCACCTTTGTAGCTGTGCATTGGGTCATCCCAAAGCTGTGCTGATACACACACACCTGCCAGTGTGTGCACTTCAGCCTTTCTGTATTTATAAAGATCAGCAGAATCACAGTGTTAGTGGTGTTTCTTCCATACTGCCTGACACTTGAAAAATGATAGGAACTTACTAGAAGCCAGATGGAAGTTGAGGTGAATAGAAGAAGGCAGACCTGGTGAACATTTTGTTTTGCCTGCAAAACCAGAATTAGTGTGGTGTTGGGTGTCCCATAATATGCAAGAAGAAAAGAGCCAGAATGCGTACAGTTTAAAACCAAAACATTTCACACCTCAAAGAAACATTTCACTGTGGCGTATACACAAAGAATGCTGAGAGATAAGATAAAATAAAACAAACAAAAATGCAGTGCAATGATTCAAAAGGAAAATAGCACTCACCTGACACTGCACTCTGAATGCACTACCTTCAAAGCAGTTATTCCCAATCAATTAATAAGAAAAAGATAATATGACTTTCAGGTGTAGACAAGCCCTCTAGAGTCTTTTAATTCTAATTTTTCTAGTAATGTCTTTGCAGTGTTGTTTATTCCTTGTTTAGAACTTAAGTACTTCAGATGTTAGTAGATAAATCCACCTTGAGATGTTGCTTTTCTCCTCTCCAGATCACGGTCTCGCTGTAACACCAGCAGCGGCAGTGAATCAGAAAATTCCAACAGAGAGCATCGGAAGAAGAGAAACAGGTGACCTTTATATATTTTAGACATAGAGACATGAAACACAAACAAATGAAGATAGGCTTTTCTGACACAAATCTAGTAAGAAGGAATCTAACATGTTTTATATGTATACAGTCCTCCTGAGGCAGCTTAAGGTCCTTTTTGAATAAGAAGAGAGATAATTTCCAAAATACATATACATCACAGGTGTATGCAATGAATGCATACCCTCCTGTTGCTTAAGAAGAACTCATTAATGATCTGCAAAATCAAGCATGGGGCACATTTATAAAAGACTTGCAATATTGATGCGAATAAAGTGGATAGTGGTGATGACAAGATACTCACAGCATGTACTTCAATACCTCAAAAATTTCAAGTGCAGAATTTTAGCAGAAAATAAGCTTTTGAGGAGAATAGTCAAAATATTTGAATGGATCTGAAACTCGGTGTTGTTTTTAAATGCATGCATTTAATTGTATAAATATTTTTATTTTGCAAATGGTAAAGTGTGGGCTTAAACCCAAAATATGTACAGAATCACCTTTTAATAGGACAACAGTAGTTGATACTAAGTGATGCTAGCAAGTTTTGGGTTTTATATTCTATTTTTCTTGTTGCTGATATGAAAAAGTTAGCATAACGATTGATTTATTGTAGCAAAAAAATTCCTTTAAAACTGTAACTTTTATCTTGCACTTGAGATAACAGCATTTGAGAGTTACTTATTTTTGAAAAGCCCATAGAATTTCTTCATATTGCATAAACAGAGCATAAGAGAACTTCACTGGACAAAAGAGGAATTGTTTAAGGCAAATTTTCTAAGAAGCTGTCTGCACAAGGTGCCGTAGTTTCCTGTTCTCTCACATGCAGTACTATTAGTGGTAAATGATTTTCAGATATTTGGAAGCTCTTAGAAATAATTATCTGCTAGATAGTGCTGCAGAAGTATGCACTATAGTAATATTTTAAGCATTACTTGCAGTAGTTAAAGAGATGCTAAAAAATCATTGTGACATTCAAGTGGACTGGTATAAGCATAGCTGAATCATGAGATTTCTTTGGAGTTTATTTAAATCAGAGCACAGTCTTGTGAGATACTTGGCTAACAATAACCTAGTGTGCATGGAAGACTTGTTTTCCAGGTGAGCTCTGAAGTTTGAATGAAATGCTGAGTATAGTTTCAGTGATCAGTAGGTAAATAGTATTTCGTATCCCTTTCTCTTAGAACAATCTTGCCAGGTTTTTCTCCTGTGAAACTTCTTGTTCAGGGAGCTCCACAAGCAAGTGAAGGAAATTAGAGACTGGCCACAAGAATGTTTTTAAGAGCTTCTTGCAATATAAAGATTGAATTGTAAGAAGGATTAAGTACTCCTTATCATTTTCTGAAGAATAAATTTTCTGGGCCTTTACCAACCCTTCCTCACCTCATGGAAAAGTGCTTAAAATTAAAAAGAAAAAAAAAAATTTGTGTGGATTGTTTTTATGTTTTTCGCATTTTTAGAAATGTAAGATACATTAAAAAATGTTAATGTCGCAGCATCTCTTGCCCTTAGGTGGTCACTTGAAATCAGACCAGATCAAAAGTCATTATCATTTTTAAACTAAACAAGTACTAAATGAGTTGGAGGTCTGAGACTTGTTCCTCGTCATCAGGTGCAGGAAAACCACCCATCATAATGAATTGCTGCATTTTGTTAACA